GCCTCGCCAGCAAATGATCGGCTCAGGATCGGGTGTATTGTTTCCAGGAGGGTCTCCTAGAAGCAGTACCTCCCTCTCAGCTTACAAAGCTTCTTACAGCTTTTGTCGCACAAGCTGAAGCCCCTACTCTTGTCCCACTCACTCTGGGCCATCTCGTTCATTGCCTGTGGGCCTGTGTGCGTAGGCCACTTGCCCTCTGATACTGTGGATCATGTTCTCTCTGATGGGTGTGCTTGCTTTCTGACCAGGTCACCTGTTCCAGGGGTCCAGGTGGGGATTTACATGGTAAACTCTGAAAGAGCGAATGGCCTTGTGTGATCTCCAGTCAATGTTTTGAGGACACTGATGCAAAAGTCAAGACTTAGGCTCAGTGTCAATCAAACACATTCAGTTAGGGCAGGGTGAAAATCGGAAACTAACGGTAGGTGCTCCAATTACAAAAAATAGGCAATAGTAGTGTGAGATGAGCTTGAGTCTCTGGCAGTTTGCTGTACCCAAGAATTCCACCGTCTTAGTTGATTTATGTGGACCTGACTCCATGGAAGGGAATGGCTCAGGCGACCAACTACGTGTTGAGAGAGGAAGGCAGGAACTTTGGTTTTATTGGAAGTTTCTTTGAGAAACGGAGCAACTCTCACTGTGCCAGGGTGCCCCGCCCCTGATTTACTTGGGGAATACCATGGGATTTAGGTAGTCCTCTTACCTAAGGTCTACCTTGCCTTCCCAGGAGGCCTTGCAACCTGCCTCTGTGTTGTCATCTGGACCCATCCAGTTAGAATGAGAATCCCCGCGGTGACTGACCTTGCATCCTGATGGCTTTGAAAACCTCGTAGCCGTTTGGGTCAAGTCCTGAAGTTGGCCAGCACCTAGGTTTAGCTGACTGGGCCCTTCCCACATGCGCACTTTCGTCACCCGCAGGGGTCATCTCCGCGCTGTCCTTCGTCATGTTTGCTCCCACTTCCCACTCTCAGGCCGGTCCCTGGGCAGAGGCTGTTTCTGAGGGGCCTCCTCCGCTCTGTCTCCCTCCGGAAGCCTTGCTGACGCTGTGGTGTCCTTGCTTCGTCCGGGTGTTGTTCTTTGTTTTTTGCTAGCCCTGGTCTGTATGGACTGCGATCCACCCCAGCTGTCTCCTCCCAGGCTCTTCATCCCGAGAATGAAGAAAGAAATGCGTCTTTCTCTACCCAAGGGCTTCTACACTTGGGGAGGAAGTTAACTGTTCTGTGTTGTTGTCATCTTTCTCATGAACTCCACCAGTGCTCCCACCCCAAAATCAGGGAGGTGAATTTTTCCATCGTCTCTGCAGGCTCAACCTTTATCAGTCTTTAGCGTCGTGCAGACGCAAGGCAGGTGCACAGCACATGCTTATTGAAGGAATGAGTTTGTAAGTGAGTGTGCGAATGGGGAAACTGGGATACAGGAGCTCAAAACTCTAGTGTATTTTTGCTCATTCAGAAATGGTTTAATGATAATATGGCTGGGATTTTTGTTCTTTCTTTTTTTAAATATTTATTTATTTATTTGAAAGGCAGAGTTACAGAAAGAGAGGGACACACACACACACACACACATACAGAGAGAGAGAGAGAGAGAGAGAGAGAGAGATCTTCCATCCGTTACTTTATTTCCCAAATGGCCATAATGATCAGGGCTGGGCCAGGCTGGAGCTAGGAGCCAGGAGCTTCCTCTGGGTCTCCCATGTGGGGACAGAGGCCCAAGGACTTGGGCTATCTTCTGCTGCTTTCCCAGGTGCATTGGCAGGGAGCTGGATCAGAAGTGGAGCATCTAGGACTAGAATTGGCGCCCATATGGGATGCTGACATTGCAGGCAGAGGCTTAACCTGCTGTACCACAGCACTGACACTGGATATTCAAAGTTAGTAATTTTCTTTGTCATCAATACTTACATAGTAAGTTCTGAAAAATACAAAACATAGTTGAAAATGTTTGCAAAATAGCATCAATAACATCTTTTCTATTTGCAAATAATTTTAGAAAATGAAAAGATAAGTATAATGGTTGTATTTTTAAGAAAAACCACAAGGGTAAGTATTAAAACAGCCATTTGCTCTTTTTTTTTTTTGATAAGGCTTATTTTATTTATTTGAAAGACAGAGTTACAGAGAGAGGTAGAGACAGAGAGAGAGGTCTTCCATCCTCTGGTTCACTCCCCAGATGGCTGCAATGGCTGGAGCTGCACCAATCCAAAGGCAGGAGCTAGGAACTTCTGGGTCTCCCACGTGGGTGCAGGGGCCCAAGGACTTGAACCATCTTCTACTGCTTTCCCAGGCCATAGCAGAAAGCTGGATCGGAAGAGGAGCAGCCGGGACTAGAACCTGTGCCCACATGAGATGCCGGCGCTTCAGGCCAGGGCTTTAACCCACTGCGCCACAGCACCAGCCCTGCCATTTGCTCTTTAAATATAATTAAAAATTCTATGCTTATTCTAAAAACAAATATAAAGGCTAATAAGAGTAATCAAAACTTCAATATCAGTATAAGAGGATTTTGCTGTGGAAAAATGCAAATCCATCCAACACAGTAATCGAATTTGCCATGCAAGGTAGACTTATATCACTGCCAAAGTCACTTTATAAATATACAGACTTCTTATACTGGAGAGAAATCACGCATATGATAATTAAGTACAAGTTCAAGTTAATAATTTTGTGCTAAGTGAAAGTTCTTAGAGAGAGAGAGATCGTCCATCCTCTGGTTCATTCTCCGATTGGCTGCCATTGCTGGAGCTGGACGGATCTGAAGCCAGGAGTCAGGAGATTCTTCCAGGTCTCCCACGTAGGTGCAGGGGCCCAAGGACTTGGGCCATCCTCTACTACTTTCCCAGGCCGTTAGCAGAGAGCTGGATCAGAAATGGCATAGCTAGGACTTGAACCAGTGCCCATTTGGGATGCCAGCACTGCAGGCAGATGCTTAACCTACTACGCCACAGTGCGGGCCAGCCCCTAAGTGAAAGTTCTTATTTACTTACTTACTTATTTATTGATTGATTGATTTTACAGGTAGAGTTACAGACAGAGAAAGAGAGAGACAGAGAGAAAGGTCTTCCTTCCATTGGTTCACCCCCATAATGGCCACTACAGCCAGCATGCTGCACCGATCTGAAGCCAGGAGCCAGGTGCTTCTTCCTGGTCTTGCTTGCGGGTATAGGGCCCAAGCACTTGGGCCATTCTCCACTGCCCTCCTGGGCCACAGCAGAGAGCTGGACTGGAAGAGGAGCAACTGAGACTAGATCCAGCGCCCATATGGGATGACGGCGCCGCAGGCAGAGGATTAGTCAAGTGAGCCACGGCGCCAGGCCCTAAGTGAATGTTCTTAAAGCAGACAAAAGATCAAGTGATTCATGGATTTTTAGTTTCAATTACAAGATTTCTTTAAAGTCATACAGTTTTCAGATTTGGAGAGCTGGCTTTGCGTGGCATGTCCAATCACGAATAATATGCTTCGTGCATAGATACCTAATAAACATAAAAGTATGTAATCCAGCAATGCATACTATGCCAATATTAATATGAAGGGATTTCTTTTTCGTCATGAAATGAATCACGGCGTATAAAAGATTAGTCCGAATGGTTACAGTTAAACCATACTTTAATTTTGGGAAATAGAAGTAAGCCCAACAGAAAGTTTTGTGATAACCCCCCAGTGCCAAGTCAGAGGGAGACAAACAAAAGAGCTTTATGGGGTCTGCTGAGTTCAGCTTTGCCAAGATTGCATCGAGACGGCATCTGATTTATGGCTAAAGCCAGGGCTGGGCTGCTGCCTTGTGGGGATGGGGCAGCCATCTTCACTGTGCAATGAAAGAAAACCATTGATGTTGGAGTTGTGGTTTGTCTACCAGCCACGCGCAAAACTCGCCATTTGGGTGCTGCGTGTTGTCTTGTAATAATGTGATAATGTTAAGGTCCTATCCTACGCAAGCAAATTCACTTTTTTTTTTTTACAACTTCAATATAAAAACAACCTCTGCATATTTCAGAAGCAAATTCTGCAAGATGAGCTTAATAGAGACAAGCCAACAGACCAAAGCAAAGTCCTCTCTGATTCTGGGAAGTCATCCTGGCAATGAATTCTACACTCAGCAGCGCACACACTGCTGTTTGCTCTTTGTGGTTTATTGATGACACATTGACCTTTGACACTGAGAGAGAGAGGGGGGCATATGTTTACTGCCCATGGATAACTTACAGGAATCAGGAGAGAGACTTGGCATGTCTCAATCACTGGGGGTAACCCCAGCACCTAAATCCCACTGGGGGCACATAGGTGGGCAGAATTCACCGCTGATTGAATAAAATCTGTAGAGTCTGTTGCTGTTGTAATTTGATTAGTCCTGTGTCAATGCAGAGAACTCCACCCAAGTAGAATCAAATGACTGTTTACTTTAGCCAGTATCCTGTAACTTCTTATAAGTTATTTAGGTTTCTATTAAGAGTCACGAACCATGTTATTTATTTTATGTGGTTCCACGGTAGTTAGTATTGAACACTCTTTTTCTGAAATCCTGGCACCTCCTATGCTTTATTTTTAGCCGTCTCTATATTAACACATACAAGGAGACTTCCAGAAGCTCCCAGAAAATGGAACAAAAAGCTACATTTACGTTGGTGTGAAACAGATTGCGAAAGCCATGAGGAGCTTTCTCATACCACACGTTTTCCGTGGAAGTATTGCTGACTTCTCGTGGATGAGGAGAGTGGGATCTGTCCCCAAATTGCATCCTTGTCCATACGGGCGTCATTGCTACTGTCATGTGTCACAACCACACACACTTACTATCTCAAGCTCAAGTGAAGAGCGCTTCATCACCGCTGTTCTTAGCCACTGTCTCTGCGAGACTTGCCTCTTGAATGTCTATACTCTGGGTTTGGCAGGCTTTTTGTCCCCACGCCTGTCCGCTAGTGACCTGGTGTGCAGTGACGTCATTGTGTGCAGTGACGCAGGTGCACAGTATCCTGAAGATGCTTTTACACAGAATATTCTAGAAAAGCACCACAGAGTCGATGAAAGCAAGGTAGCAGTACCTCTGTGGCCTGCCCGACGCTGGGATTGCTTCCAAGCATGTCTGCAGAGCAAAATTTGGGGCCAGGAAGACGATGGGGAAAGAACACTGGAGAGTTTCCCTTTATAAAAAGAGGCAGGTTCAGACGCAAAAAACCATTCACCGCCCAGGAAACAGCGCCTGAGAAAAATGCATCCACACATCTTCTGTCTTAGGGGGGCACAAAAGGGACCTCAGGAGGCTTCGCGACTCGGCCGGTTCTCCGTGCCACCTCCGTGAGCTGTCTCCAGATGGCCGACTGTCACAGCTAATATCTAGTGAGTGCTTGTGCTTTGTGTTGAGTGTCTGGTGCTAAGCAAACACTGGCTTCCCTGCCTTCCTTCCTGTTCCCCTGGGGAGACCGTGAGCCAGAAGATGGCCTTGCGGACTGACCTGATCTTTCGAATAGCAGCCTAAGTCCTCAGAACAGACAGAGGGCCAGGCTCGTCCGAAGAGAAGGGGGCGTCTTTGCGGCGGGAGAGGATATTGGATCTTTGGGTGAAGGTGGTACAAGCCCTTCTGGAAGTTTCTGCTTCTCCCCGTTGGCCTCTGCCAGCGGCCGCAGAGCCCAGGAAATCGTCTTTGAATGCAGCTCAGACACTGGCCCTGCCTCCGGGGGCAGCCGCTGCTCCGGTCACTGTAAGTCTCTCTCTCTGAGGTCACAGAGCTTCCCTCCCGCAGCAGTCCCCGTCAGGGAGCCATCCTCTAGACCGGCGCTGGGGGGCACCTTTCCCCAGGTGGGAGACAGCACTGCAGACAGAGCCGGTGGGCATCACCACAGCACACAGCAGGGTAGCTCTTGTCGGTGCTTAACCTGTGGCCTGAGCTGCTCCTGATGGGCTACAAAATGAATCTTAACCCTCGGGACCTTCATCTATCTGGAGTGCCCTAAACAAGCCCTTCACTGCAGCAAAACCCACCCACCGCGCCCTGAACGCACCAAACCGGTTCTACCTTGGCTCTTGCTGTCTTCTCTGCACTGGTCCTCCCCTCCCCCCTCCTCATCCCCTCCTCCCCCCAACCCTACCTTTGCTCTGACTGTCATGATTCAAGCCTTACCTCCTCCAGGAAGCCTTCTCTGACTGTGCCAGGCTGCAGGGATCTCTTTCCTCTGCACACAACCCGGCTTTCTCACTCATTTGGTAAATGAGCAAAATGACACATGATCCTTTTCGGTGATTATGGTCTAATGCCATCGCCGTCTTCATCTTCCCCTGGATGTTGCTAACTGTTTTGGCACCTTGTCACCTCACTGGTTATTAATACGCGTTGGGTGCTTCCAGGGCCGGTAAAGGTGGGTGACTGCCACGAGGAAGCAGGGTGCTGTGTCGATGCAAGTGTTAGCCACATTAGGAGACCAAAGCAAGCAGTTCCCGCCCCAACAACAAACAGCTCCCTGAAGCCACTTCACGTCCAGGGCAAGGGTTAACTTTTATTATAGCTGAAGCCGGTGGCCAGGGAGGGAGTCCAGCCAAGCGGGGTGTGTGTGTGTGTGTGTGTGGGCATGGTGGGCCTCTGGAAGTCCCGAGGACAGAGCGGAACAGATCCGTGTTAGCCGGCTCAGATAACAGAGGGAGGGTTTCGAGGTTTAGACTCTGCGGGCAGGAAACGCAGAGCACCCCCGTGGGATGGAAAATCCAGGGACAAAGCCCGTGCTGTGCGGCCTCCTGGGGCCTTCATGGCTCCTTTATCTTTGTCTCTCTCTCTTTTTTTTTTTTTTTTTTGACAGGCAGAGTTAGAGAGAGACAGAGAGAAATGTCTTCCTTCTGTTGGTTCACCCCCCACATGGCTGCTGCGGCCGGCGCGCTGCACCGATTTGAAGCCAGGAGCCAGGTGCTTCTCCTGGTCTCCCATGCGGATACGGGGCCCAAGCACTTGGGCCATCCTCCACTGCCTTCCCGGGTCACAGCAGAGAGCTGGCCTGGAAGAGCGGCAACCGGGACAGAATCTGGCACCCCGACCGGGACTAGAACCCGGGGTGCCGGCGCCGCAGGTGGAGGATTAGCCTAGTGAGCCATGGCGCCGGCCATGTCTCTTTCTTCTATTTGCTCACCCCACCGCCTGGCTGGCAGGCCAATTCCAGGCCACAGAATACCTGCTCCGTGTGCCTGGGGTCAGATTTAAGAGACAGACCCTTACTGACGCAGTGCAGGCTCCAGAATGATTTCCCATTGATCAGATGGCGATATGCTTCGACGGGGGAGGTGATGTTTGAAGTCACGAGGAAGGAGCGAGGCAGCGCAGACTACAGGGGCCATCGCCTTGGGCGGGGTGCAGGTGGGGACAACACGCGGCATCCCCACCGCAGACTTTCACAGCCACAGTGCTACTGTAGTTCGGTGATTTCCTGGGCTGCCCTTCATTGCTGAGAGAGATGTTGCACCTGCTGGTTCATGTCTTATGCTTGAGAGGGTGGTATGAGGCCGCTGTGTGTGCCGTACTGTCTTGGTGGTCACATTCTTTCAGTAATCCTAAAATTCTAACACCTTCCTGGACGTCCAGTCTCCTAGTTCTCACAAAACTGGAAGAATACCTCTCCAGTGGAGTCCAGGTGCCCGGGGAGGGGACACTGTTCAAAGGAGAACTCAGAGAAGGCATTCACTTGACCTTGCATCTGACACAGACTCCTGGGGCGGCTGGGAGGGTGGGCTCTGGAATGGTGCCTCCCGAATCAGGTCCTGACCCACTGCGAAAGCCCACGAGCAAGTGACTCAGGCTCTCCAAGTCTTACTTTTCCCATCTGTGAACAGTGCACGGCACAACCACTTAGCAGAAAACAAAACTCCCCAGAGTGATGTGCCGACAACAACATTTGATTCTTAGAAAGTTCTTGGTGAACGCCACGCACAATGGCCACCATTACTGTTCATCTCAGTGGACTGAAGGAACCCAGGGCAGAGTCAATGTGTTCCCTACGTGTCACACAGCTCCCTTCTGGATTCTTCCCCACGTCTTCGCGTGTGTGTTAGCAAGGGTGTGGTGGTTACTCAATTTACTTTTATTTACTGATGGATTTGAAAGGGAGGGAGAGATCTTCCATCATCTGCTCCACTCCTCAAATGCCTACGAGAGCCAGGGCTGACCACGCTGAAACCAGGAGTCTGGAACTCAATCCAGGTCTCCCTCATGGGCGGCAGGGACTCAGCTACTTGAACCATCACTGCTGCCTCCCAGGGTGCAGGTCAGCGGGGAGCGGGGATTGGGAGCAGAGCCTGCACTTGAACCCAGGCACTCGGAGAGGGGATCTGAGCGTCCAGGTGGTGTCCCAACCACCGTCCCGAGTGCCCATCCCACCCACTGGATTCTATAGTGTCGTCCTTTGTGCTCTGGATTGTAGCAGTTGTCACAATCAAAAGTCCAAAAACAAAGGCTGCGTAAGCAGTACAGCCTTGGCCTGAATTTGAACAACTTGCTGAGAACGGAGCTGTCGGTCCGAGTGCGTTGTGTGGGTGCCCCTCCCCCGAAACGAAGAGAAGAGGCCATTTCTCTGGCCTCTTTGATTCAATCTCTCCAGAATTGTCATCCTCTGTACCAAAGGATGTGCCTTCTATTCCCGAAATCAACACACAGATATGCTCATTCCCACTCTTTTTTTCCCCCCTACAGGAGCCACGCCAGCCCCGGAGACCATGAACTTGTCTTCTGAGCACTGCAACGTGTCAGACTGGCTGCGGCGAGAGGCAGCCGTGAAGGCCTCTGTGTACGTGGTCGCGTTCTCCTGTGCCACGTCCATCACGGTCGTCATCACCACAATCGTGTGGCAGAGCCCGGAGCTGAGGAGGGAGGTCCGCTACCTCCTCCTCTGCCATCACCTCCTGTGCATCTCCTCCTACTGCGGCCTGGGCGTTGTCTTCCAGGGGATGCGGGCCCTGCTGGCCAACAGCCCCCTGCTGCTGTGCTGGGTGGTGTTCGGGGCACAGCTGAGCGTTGGAGAAGGCATCCTCTTCACTCTGGCCTTGATGGCTCTCAACGCTTGCCTGGCCATTTGCTGGCCGCTCACGTCCCTGTCCTTGGTGGAATCGGTCAAGTGCAGGATTCTAGCTGGCACCTGGGCAACCATCATCCTCAAGAACGCTTGCCTATTCTTCATGGAGGGCGCCAACTCCCCTGCGGGCGCCGTTTTGAAATCCGAACCCTTTTGCCCTGTGATCTTGAACGGCGTTGCTGCCAGAGCCGTGGGCATGACCTTCCTCCTCGTCCCCTTGTCTGCCATTCTCATCAGTTACTCTCTGATCTACCGCGAGGGGAAGCGGGCTGGCCATTTCAACAGGGCCAACATCAGAGCCAGGCGGCGGGTCCTCATCCACCTGGTGCAGATCAGTCTGCATGTGATTCCGACCCTGCTGTTCATAGGTCTGGGAAAGATGTGTGGGCTGTTTTACTTTGCGCTGAACCTGGTGCTTTTCAGTGTCTTTGCGTTTGCCCAGTGTTTTAACCCTCTGGTCTACGGGCTCCAGGATACAGAACTGCAAAGCAGATGGCAGGAGTGGTTGTACTGCCGGCCGGGCTGTGGGCGCGCGGTGAACAGCAGAGGGCCCGTTTAAGCGCACCCGTTTTACTGCCATTCGGAAACCGTCTAACTCCTGTTCGAACGGGTACAGCCCGGCTGCTCTGATCTGACTTTGAAAGCAGCATGAGTCAATAAAAATTATTCATTTGCCTCACAAACCTCGCTGCTGGACACACTGAACTGGCCTCAGTGAAACCATTTTCAGCGTCTTTTTTTTTTTTTTTTAAGATTTATTTATTTGAAAGTCAGAGTTACACGGAGAGAGGAGAGGCAGAGAGAGAGAGAGAGAGGTCTTCCATCTGCTGGTTCACTCCCCAATTGGCTGCAACAGCCAGAGCTGTGCCGATCCGAAGCCAGGAGCCAGGAGCTTCTTCCAGGTCTCCCATGTGGGTGCAGGGGCCCAAGGACTTGGGCATCTTTCACTGCTTTCCCAGGCCACAGCAGAGAGCTGGATCGGAAGTGGAGCAGCCGGGACTCGAACTGGTGCCCATATGGGATGCTGGCGCTGCAGGCTGGGGCTTTACCCGCTACGCCACAGCGCCGGCCCCATGTCGTCTTTTATCCTAAAGTCAGATGAGCAGTTTCGGCAGCCTGCTCTGCCTCGTTTGAGTTCTCGGGAAGCTTTGGGGTGCACTTGTCTTCTGAAACCAGTTGCTGTTGGCAGTTCTTGCATTACTTAGTTTGGCTGCGTAAAACAAGAACAGCAGTCAGGTCACAGGGACTTCGGACATCAGAGGTCGGGGTGGGCGCCTGGCGCGGTAGTTACGGTGCTGCTTGGGACGCCTGCCGCCTATATGGGCGCGTCTGGGCTCAAGCCTTGGCTCTGCCCCCAGCTCCAGCTTCCTGCTAATGCAGATCCTGGGAGGCAGCAGGCGGTGGCTTACGTGGGTCCCTGCCGCCCACTTGGGACACCTGGATTGAGTCCCAGGCTCCAAGCTCTGGCCTGGCCTGGCCCTGGAATTCACAGGCATTTTGGAGAGGGAACCAGCAGATGGGAGATTTTTGTCTTTCTACCTTTCAAACAAATTAAATAATTTTCTTAAAACTTAGAAATAGATTTTTTTGTATGTAAAAGAAAATCCAGGCCTCCGCAGCAGCTCTGCACTCACCAGGCTCATTCTCTTCTACCCTGCCATGATTAGTGTGTGACCTCATGATCCAAGGTGGCTGCTAGTGCTCCTGTCATCACATTTACACTCCAGCTGATGGGAAGGAGGAAGGGGCAGATGTAGTGTCTGCCTTTCTGTTTGGCCCGCGGAGTGAACGGGCCAGGAGCCCAGAGAACCTCACCGTGTCTCAGAGAGCGGACAAGCAGCAGACAAAACCATTCCCAGCTCGGAATCACCCAGCGTGTCCGTCTCTGCAGATGGGAGGCAGGGGTGGGAAACAAACATCCACGGAAATTCACCAGGGCTGTCTCCTTAGACGAACCGGGGGGAATTCGGGTCCAGAGACAGGAAGCATCACTCCAGGGACTCTAAGCAGCCAGAGAGCCTCCTCCAGGAACCAGTGTTGTCGGTGGTGACCGCTGCCGGTGCACCTAAAGATGGCAGCCAACACCCTCCCTTCTGACAGTCCAGCCACGGGCTCCGGAAAGTCAGGCAGAAACGGACGCCCTGACCTGGGTGGCATGTGCACTCTCTCTCTCTCTTAAAGATTTATTTATTTATTTGAAAGGCAGAGTTACAGAGAGAGAGGAGAGGCAGAGAGAGAGAAAGGTCTTCCACCTGCTGGTTCACTCCCCAGATGGCTGCAATGGCTGGAGCTGTGCCGATCCGAAGCCAGCAGCCAGGAGCTTCTTCCGGGTCTCCCACATGGGGTGCAGGGGCCCAAGGACTTCGGCCATCTTCCACTGTTTTCCCAGGCCATAGCAGAGAGCTGGACTGGAAGTGGAGCAGCCGGGACTGGAATCAGCGTCCACATGGGATGCGGGCACTGCAGACGGTGGCGTCACTCGCTACGCCACAGCGCCGGCCCCAGCCGGCCCCACGTGCTCTCTCTTCTGTAATCTCCCTCTTCGGCAAAGAAAGGCTAGCCTGGGAGGTGAGGGAAGAAGGCACAGTCACTTTCAAGTCATCGCCCCGGGCTGAGGTGGAAGGCTCTGGATGCCACACTCTTTCCTGCTTTCCACAAGCCCTCCCCCCGCCACGGCAAAGACCCTCGAAGAAAAGTCTGGAAGACACATCAGTCACCTTGGAGAGAACAGAGAAGAAGGACCAATCTAGGGGACCATGGTGGGGGGAGATGATGGGAGCCAGAATGCATAATTGTATTTTTAGTGGAACTGGGGGTTCCACTGATGGTTTGATCACGTAGTTGGTTGTTTATTTATTGTGAAGTCAGCCTCATTGAGGTATAACTGACATACAGTAAATTCCTTTTAAAGATGTAGGCTCAGGTGTAGTGAGTGGTGAGCTCTGTGGCATAGTGAGTGGGGTAGCCACCTGCAGTGCCAGCCTCCCATATGGGTGTCAGTTCGAGTCCTGGCTGCTCCACTTTCCATCCAGCTCCTTGCTAATGCACCTGGGAAAGCAGTGGGGGATGGCGTTAGTGCTTGGGCCCCTGCACCTGCATGGGAGACTGGGAAGAAGCTCCTGGCTCCTGGCTTCAGAATGGCCCAGCTCTGGACACTGTAGCCATTTGGGGAGTGAACCAGTGGATGGAAGACCTCTCTCTCTCTCTCTCTCTCTCTCTGTCTTTCTCTGTACCTCTGCCTTTCTTTTTCTTTCTTTTTCTTTTCTTTTCTTTTCTTTTTTTTTTTTTTTTTGACAGGCAGAGCAGAGTGGACAGTGAGAGAGAGAGAGAGACAGAAAGGTCTTCCTTTGCCGTTGGTTCACCCTCCAATGGCCGGCCGGTGCACCGCGCTGATCCGATGGCAGGAGCCAGGTGCTTCTCCTGGTCTCCCATGGGGTGCAAGGCCCAAGCACCTGGGCCATCCTCCACTGCACTCCCTGGCCACAGCAGAGAGCTTGCCTGGAAGAGGGGCAACCGGGACAGAATCCGGCACCCCGACCGGGACTAGAACCTGGTGTGCCAGCGCCACAAGGCGGAGGATTAGCCTAGTGAGCCGCGGCGCCGGCATCTGCCTTTCAAATAAATAAATAAATCTTGAACAACAAAAAAGTAGGTTGAGTTTTGACAAGTACGTAGTCATGTGACACTGACACAGTGAAGACAAAGAACGGCTTCTTCACCCAGGAAGCTCCCACAGGCTCCCCTCCCCCTCCAGTCCCAGGCAACCCCCCCCCCCCCCGACCGGCATTTTGGCCCCAGAGTGTTGTCTTCTGTGCATGGTCATATAGCTGCCACCGCACGAGTGGACTGCCACCACTACCAGCCTTCTGGGTCTGACTACTCCCGGTGAGCCCAGTGCTCTTGGGTGTGCCCCTGCTGGAGGTAGCAGGAGTTCATCCTTCTTTATTGCTGAGTGGTTACCTCACTGTATGGATGTGCTACCACCTGCTAATTCGTTTACTTGTAGATGACAACTGGGTTATGTTCAGTCTTTGGCTATCATACACAAAGCTGCTACAACCATCAGTGTGCAGGTCTTTATGTGGAACTGTGTTTCCACTTTAGTATCTACGAGCAGGTTGCTGGGTCCAAGATAAGCCCAAGTTTAATTTTATTAAAAAAATAAAATGACTACTGGGGCCACTGCTGTGGCACAGCTGGTAAAGCCTCTGCCTGCAATGCTGCCAGCATCCACATGGGCACCGGGTCGTGTCCGGGCTGTTCCACTTCTGATCTGGCTTCCTGCTAATGGGCTGGGAAAGGCCACAGAAGAAAGACGGCCCAAGTCCTTGGCCCCTGCCACCCACATGGGAGACTCAGACGAAGCTCCTGCCATCCACCTGGCTCAGCTTGGCCACTGCAGCCATCTGAGGAGTGAACTGCTGATGGAAGATCTCTCTCTGTAACTCTGACTTCCGAATAACTCCGACTGGACCATTCGGCATTACCATCGGCCAGCCATGCGATTTCCTGCTGCTCTGTATCCTTGTCTGCTCTTAGCACTGTCAGTCTTCATTTTTAGCTACGCTAATAATAGTAACATGACACTGGCATCTTACCTGGTGTCTTAAGTGTTGGGCCAAACACACCTGAACTTACATTTTAATTCCCTTTCCTCATATGTCAGTTGTGTCTTCAGCAGGAGGTTTTTTCTTTTTTTTGACAAAGTTAGACAGTGAGAGAGACAGACAGAGAGGAGTCAACTTCCGTTGGTTCACCCCCCAAATGGCTGCTACAGCCGGCGCGCTGCGCTGATCAGAAGCCAGGAGCCAGGTGCTTCCTCCTGGTCTCCCATGTGGGTGCAGGGCCCAAGCACTTGGGCCATCCTCTACTGCCTTCCCAGACCACAGCAGAGAGCTGAACTGGAAGAGGAGCAACCGGGACAGAATCCGGCGTCCCAACCGGGACTAGAACCCAGGGTGCCGGCACCGCAGGCAGAGGATTAGCCTAGTGAGCCGCGGCGCTGGCCAGGAAGTTCTTTCTTAGACAGGCTAGGAATTAAGAACACAAATGCCAGACTGTGTGGGTTCCAGAGGAAATTCTACCACTTTCTAGCTATGAAATCTTGGGTAGGTTACTTAGCCTCTCTGTACCTCAGTTTTCCCATCTGTGAGATGGGGTTACCCATTGTCATAGGATCACTGTGGACATCACATGTTCTTGGACATCATAGAGCTGTCCGAGGTTGGTGCCATTCCCTACAGATAAAGGCCTGTATTGGAGCTGGATCCATTCGTGTGACAATGGCTGTGTGATGGCTTTGTCTGCACAGTCAGGGTTACAGTGAGCCGCTTAGGAAGCCCTGGGGCTGGACCTGGGTAAGGAAGAACACACAGGGTCGTGGTTTGTACAGCAATGGTGCCGGCTCCTCCACAAGCACACAGCGTTTTGCAAGGTAAAGGGCATTTCCTCCTTCCTTTTCATGTCCTTCCAACTTCCAACTTCCCTCTAGTTTCTGGACAGCAGAGTTTATTTTATTTATTTAACTTCACTGTATCACACACATTGTCCTGACATTTTCTGTAGTGGGCACAGATGCACTGACCCAGTAATAAGTGAAAATGCAATGACGTATTTGGTGCTTACAGTCAGTTTTACACAATGGAACCCCACGAAGCTCCTCCCTGTTAAATAATCAATGTTAGATAGTCAGCATAAATTAAAACCGGGCCTTGAAAGATTGACACTCGTTATACAAGACCTGTCTACAGAGGAGGTGATTATTCCCACGGCTTCTGTAGCTAACAGCCCAACTTGGCCTGTTCTTAAACCTGGAAAGAATGAAAGGTGTTTCGTGGTGGACCACCACACTCCGAATGCTGCGACTCTACCCACTGAGGACCCTACACCCAGGAGTACTGAAATTACTGACTTTTTCTACCGAGCAATGGGTGACCACTCTGCAGGCGCAGGGTTGACGGCCGTGGCCTGTTCAGTGCCTGGGTCAACAGCATCTCAGCTGCCCAAGGGACATGATGCACCTTTACCAGGCAACCCTTGGACACCTCAACAGCGCTGCCGTTACACCAAACCTTTGCAGGCAGGGGCTGATCTGCATCTGACTTTCTCCAGAAGCACCAGTGTGACATCACAGGGTGACACCCTTCTCTGAGCAGGTGCAATGGACTTCCAGTCACTCACAAGGGGCATGAGCCATTGTCCTGTCCCCCTGCCCAAGACAAGGACCCTCACCGGCCCACAGGCACTGAACCTGGGACTCTGCACCTGCCTCCCACACACTTTCGGTCACAGAGGCAGCACCCCACGGACACCACAGAAAATGCCTTTGGAGTATCAGCATCGGTTCTCTCTATCACATGCATACACAAAGCTAGACCCCGAGCAGGCCGGGTGAGCTGCACAGGTACAGTCAGGTACTGGGGCAAGTGGCCGAGGGCAAGGCCAGCCCTACCCTTCATCCTGTCTCAGGAGGCAGGACTGAGAGGTGAGACTGGGTGTGTCCCTGGCTATCGTGTGCTGCCATATGGCATTATAAGGATTAGAAACACTGCAATATCTAGGATATTAATGAATGATCTATATTTTAAAGATCTTCAATTGTTTTTCACACAGTAATAATCATTACAGAAATCTGAGGGCAGGTGTTTGGTGGTCAAGATGCTGGCTAAGACGCCGCATTCCATATCGGTGCCTGGGCTGGATCTCTGGTTCCAGTCCTGACTCCAGCTCCCTACTAAGGCAGACCCGGGGAGGCAGCAGGGATGGCTCAAGTGGTTGGGTTCCTGCCACCCATGTGGGAGACCTGGGTGGGTTTCCCAGTCCTGCCTTTAGCCTTGCCCAACTCTGAAAGGCAGAGTGAGAGAGAGAGAGAGAGATTTCCTCCATCACTGGTTCATTACTCAAATAGCTGCAACAGCCAGGGCTGAGAAAGGCCAAAGCCAAGAGCCAGGAGCTTCTTCCAGGTCTCCCACATGGCATGGACATGGAACGTTGTGCTAAAACCGTCGCTACGAAGATGTCACGCCCAGGTGTGAAGGCGACTCAGAGCTGGGAAACTCGGGGGCCCTAAGGCCTTCAGCCAGACAGAGAACATGGCAGGAATTCACCTGCTGGTCACCTCCCGAGAGTTATTCTCGGGAGCCAGAGCAGAAGTCCTTTCTGAGAGAGATGGAGCCGGTGAATGAGCTTAACCTGGGGGCTCCTTTGTAAACATCACAGTGCTCCCTCCTCAGATCTCAAACTCAAGGTGCCCAAATGCAAACGGGCCCCTTCTTTTGGACTTCGCTTAGTGGGAAAATCAGCCCTTTCTCTGTGACTCAAACCCAAGACCCAACTCCTGCATCCCATCCCTTGCCCATCCACGCTGTTTCCCTCCCAGTCTGCGTTCCTGTCCGCCACGTTTGTCCACCCGCATTGAGCTCTGTCTACGTCACGCTGCTGCAGCTTAATGGCAGTTTGCATTTCTGCCACTGCAAACCGACTCATTCTTCAAAGGTCTCAAATCGCGACCTGTGTGCCCCCCGTCATCACCAACACACCGCCAGCAGCTCCCGGAGAGACTTCCCTCGTCAGCATATACTCCGCTTCCAGTTCTTGGAGTGCCCCCACCTCCCTTCCACTGCAAATTCACTGGGTGTGAACCAAGCACCCTCTCCATTCTGAACGCACTTCTCCCAGGAGCCTGTGAGAAACGGATCGCCCATTTCAGGACCCAGCTCCAACCTGTCATCAACCCAGCTCCCACCCACAGCACTCCACCTTACTGGGCCACGAGAGGCCGGCCCTATGAGGTGGGGGCAGTTAGCAAGGGCTGATTGTGTTCCTCTTCTGCCTTGGAGGAAGCCTGAAGACCTGCTTATGTGGTGGGGCAGTGGGAGAGCATTCATATTTTACGTGACCCCTACGTGACCCAGGGACATGGTGATTAGTGTCGCAGGGTACGTGGCTGGCTTCCACGTGGTGGCCAGTGGCGTGGTCTGGTGGCCACATATACCACGACAGGGAAAATTTGGAAATTGCTTCCTGCCATACCTCTTTTTTTCTGCAGCCGTTTCCTGATCGAGTTCCCACATGGGCCCTCGCCTCCCTTCCGGCCACTCCCTCACCGAGGATCCTAAGAGCAGGGGAACACGGGCTCGCCTTGTCCCAGTTTCTCTTTGTATAAAATCCCTGCTGCCTCACCGCAGCTCATAGGAAGCTTCGGAGCGTGAAAGTCCACAGTGTCACCAGCTTCCTGTTTCTCCGAAAGGAGAGCAGTCGGCCTAACTCCGCCTCTTGAGTTGTGATAGCAATAAACAATGGTAATGTAAATGGTCTTGGGGAACGCTGCTGTCTGGTTAATTTGCAGGAAGTATTCCATTTTGAGCAGCAGGTGAACTATGTGCACGAAGGGATCTCTGGGTCTCTGCAACCCCCTCCTCTGATCCCCAACACTACATCAAACAAAATGCTATCGGCTGGTGCTGGCCGGTGCTGTGGTACAGTGAGTTAAAGCCCTGGCCTGCAGTGCCAGCATTGCACATGGGTGATGGTTCAAGTCCTGGCTGCTCCACTTCCCATCCAGCTCTCTGCTATGGCCTGGGAAAGCAGCAGAAGATGGCCCAAGTCCTTGGGCCCCTACACCTGCATGGGAGACCCAGAAGAAGCTCCTGGCTCCTGGCTTTGGATCAGCACAGCTCTGGCTGTCATTTGGGGAGTGAACTAGCCGATGGAAGACCTTTCTCTCCCTATGGCTTTACCTCTCACTGTAACTCTTGCAAAAAAATAAAATAAATCTTTTTAAAAAATCAAAACACTGTCACAGAAGTAGTACAGGGCTTCTGAAGTGCAGGTTGTCCTCAGTTGCAAGCTAACGGGCCACCTCCTAGTGTTCTTTTACTCCACAGCCTCCCACAGCCTCTCTGTGCTGATGGAGGTCATCACTCAACATACTCATTGCGTTCACGCAGCTGGAGGAAAAGTCATTGTTTCCAACCTTGTTTTCTGAGTCAGAGGAGACCTGGCCAAGAGAGATGGCTAGCAATGAGCGGATGCTGGCCATCTTCCTGGTCTGCTGTCTCTTTCCATCTCACTGCTTCCCTGTGTCTCTTTCGCTGAATGAAAGAAAACCCTGTAAATCTACAGAATAATCTCCACATTGCCATGGAGAGATCTGGTAACTCAGCACCTCTGCATAGCAGTCTGGGTTCCAGTTCGGGAGAAGCAGTAGCAAATGTGCTTCAAACGCCTATCAGCCATGCCCAGTCCCTGCCCCTCTAACCACACAGTGGATGAATTACGGCAAGTAAGCTACGGGGGCTGTCTCTTGGGGGAGACAGGACTGGCCTACCCGTGCCCTGTGTTGGGTTTAGAGGATGTTACACTTGGGACAGTCTAGGAGAATCTTTGGTCCAACTCTCTTTTGCTTCTAACACTGAAATATCTAACAGAAAATATAAGAAAAAGCCAACACATCATTGGGAAGGGGAAAGAACAGCATGAATGACAAAGAAACTCTCACTTATTTTGGAAAGATATGAAGACAGAGAGAGAGGAAGGAGCCCTGGGAAGGAAGAGACAGAGACAGAGAGAGAGAGAGAGAGAGAGAGAGAGAGAGAGAGAATCTCATCCACTGGTTCCCTCCCTGGCAATGGTTGGGGCTGACCCGGGACCAAAGCCAGGAGCCAGAAACTCAATCCAGGTCTTCCCATGTGGGTGACAGGAACTCAGGCACGTAAGCCTTCATTAACTGCTTCCCAGGGTTTGCATCGGCAGGAAGCTGAAGTCAGGAGCTAGGGCTGGGCACTGGACCCAGGTGCTTTGATACCGGATATGGGTGTCCCACATGGTGTTGTCACGACTAGGCTGAACACCCACTCCCCGCGTGGTAAGCAGACTCTACTCAGTGAATACGGCCCAGCAGAGGAGCGCCTGGCTTATGCAGCCACACCCAGTGGGCTTTTAATCCTGGCTCTGTCGCTTACTGGAAGGATTACCTAGCTGAGCGCTACTATTACCCAGGTTGAGTCGGGTATTTGCAGCTGCAGGTCCCTGACTTGGATGAAAGACTCACAGGTCACTCTGGGCCACTGCTAGTGCAAACCTGGAGGGGGATTAGCAGAGTCCAGGTGAACTTCTAAGGTCCTCTGTCTCCATGGAAATGTCTCCTCCAATTCTTTTTGGTAAGTACAGCTCTTCTGAGCACAGGTGTCCCAGATGTGCCCACAAGTAGATGAGGGAGCAGTGGGTGGCTTTGGGGGCTCTGGGCAGCTGTTACCAGCAAGAGTTCCTCCTTTACCTGGGGGCCTTTGCCAGGTCACTAAGTCAGGTGGCTCCCTTTAGCTCGGGGACTTGCAAAACCACCAACCCTATGCCTAAGCCCACTTTCCTGGTCTGCTCTTGACAACCCTGAGTTTGGCTTACCCGCACCTGCTCACCTCAGCAAATAGGCCCTCAGAGACGGGACCTGCATTCCCAGGAACCCCTTCGGGAAGGTGCCTGGGGACTCTGACGTCAGCCAGCCCCTTTTCCTCGGGGAGCTGCGTGGGGAATGGTTTGGGGCACGGTTAGTGGACCACCGGGAGGCTGCTGGGAAGGGCCAGCAGTCACGGAACAACGCAAACCCGTGGAGACGAAAAGCACAGTGAAGGAAATTAACAGAGAAGCCTAACAGTAGAATGGAAAAAAACCCAATTAGCAAGCCGGCAGAGCAGCTCCAAGAATTCTTAGAAAACGCAGGGGGGAAGGCACAAGGTGAAAATCACACACGGAAAGACGAGAGGCCGGGGAAGACCTGGGGGCCAGGCAGGTGGTGGTGACGACGAGGTGGCTGGAGGAAAAGTACCCAGCAAGGAGACAGTACGGGCAGCGGGCACATGGCCCACGCGGCCTCACGACCATGTGCGAGGCCACGATCCTCCCCTCCTCTGACAGCTGGGGGGTTTGGGCTTAGCTCTGCAGAGAACGATTCATGGTCAGCACACTTATTTGGGGTGCAGCTGGCACTGGAATTCAGACATGCCAGACTCCTAGTCTAGCGCTCTTTCCATAACATCAGAGATGCCTCAACAGGCTGTACAACACATGGAAACAGCACAGATACCCTGTGTTAAATCAGGGCTTACAACCAAGGAGAGAGTGCAGGGGGAGGCAGGTGAGCAACAACTGTCAAAGTCCATCCGGGTTCCTGCCTCCCCCAGTGTTTCACAGAAACCCCACACCTTGCCTGGGTTCACTGAGTGTCACGAACAAAGGAGTCAGCATTAGGACACCCAGGTTGATTTGAATCTGTAAAATGGGTTGATAGCGCCACTTGCTGTGAGGATCTGCTTTGCCAATTGTAAAGTGATACACATACTTAGCTTGTTATCGGCGTTTCTGCAAAAGGTTGTGTGGTTTATGCACTGAGCCAACTTTCTACTTTGAAGAAGAGGATGCGCTGCACTGGCACTGTGTCACAGTGGGTTAAACCCCTGCCTACAGCCCCGGCATCCCGTATAGGCACCGGTTCAAGTCCCAGCTGCTCCTCTTCTGATCCAGCTCTCTGCTATGGCCTGGGAAAGCAGTGGAAGATGGCCCAACTCCTAGGGCCCCTGCACCCACATGGGAGACTTGGAAGAAGCTCCTGGCTTCTGGTTTCAGATCAGCTCAGCTCTGGCCATTGCGGCCATCTGGGGAGTAAACCAGCGGAATGGAAGACCTCTCTCTCTGGCTCTAACTCTCTCTGTAACTCTGTCTTTCAAATAAACAAAACAATTTTTTAATAAAAGAGGATGCTCTGATTTCACTCCTGAAACACCATCAACTTGTATGCTTAACACAACCATCTTCCAGCAGAGAGCGGTAAAGGGTTTGGTTTGAAGAATCAGCTCTGGCAGATGTAGGCAGGGCATCAAGAAAGGGGCACCTTCTCCTCTCTCTCTGTCTCTCTCTCTCTCTCCCCCTTACACACACACACACACACACACACACACACACACTACATGGATCCTGACGCTGGTATCCACCCTTGATGAAGAATGAATCAGTACTGATTCCTAAGTTATCTGCCTGCAGACTGCGAGGCAGGGAGAAGCAGGAGAGAGCACTGAGCCAGACTGATCGGCTGCCTGACCTCATGTCTGCACACCGCGAGCGGGATGCACGCGGATAATTGATCACGGCTGTGGTCAGTGCTGTGGGGAGAGATGGGCTCCACGAGGCATGTCTGGAAGAGCTGCGTTTGCCTGCCAGGACAGATTCACTTCCCTGCAGATGGCATTTAAGGTGGGGCCTGAGGATGTGCAGAGCACGGAAGGATGGGGGGTTAGCTTTGGGCAGGTGCATGTGAGGAAGGGGCGGGAGGGTTAAGCATTCAGACTTATGTTGTGGGCATCAGGCTGGTGTCGTCTTTGTTTTTTATTTTAATGATTTGTAACCTAGTCAAGCTAAGACAGATAATGGTGCAGGAGCTCAGGGTCCTCCCAAACCCCAGTGATTTATTGCAGGCATCAGCAAACTGTGGCCAGAGGGCCCATTGGACTGACCACCTGCTTTTGTAAATAAAGTTTTATTGCAACACAGCCATGTCCATTTGTCTGTATGTTTGTCTCTGGCCATTTTCACTCCACAAAGGCAGAGCTGAGCAGCTGACACAGAGGTGGTGCGGCCAGCAAAGCTCACCCTGGCACGCAACAAAGTTTCACTTCTCCCTCATACTGCTCATTCATCACAGGGCGATTAAGGCTCAGCCCTACATGAATGATGCCCGTGGTTCCTGGTGACAGAGAAGTCTCTGTTTAGAGTGCCACTGGTTTGGGGACAGAGGGAAGAGACACGTGAGCTCTTAAAACTCTGCCGTGGCCGGCGCCGAGGCTCACAAGGCTAATCCTCTGCCTTGTCAGCGCCAGCGCACCCGGTTCTAGTCCCGGTAAGGGCGCCGGATTCTGTCCTTGTTGATCCTCTTCCAGGCCAGCTCTCTGCCGTGGCCCGGGAGTGAGTGGAGGATGGCCCAGGTGCTTGGGCCCTGCACCCCATGGGAGACCAGGAGAATCACCTGGCTCCTGCCTTCGGATCAGCACAGCGCGCCGACCGCGGAGGTTATTGGAGAGTGAACCAACGGCAAAGGAAGACCTTTCTCTCTGTCTCTCTCTCTCACTGTCCACTCTGCCTGTCCAAAAAAAAAAAAAAAAATCTGCCCGGCTGCTGACCCTCTCATATTTATTGGTCCACATTTCTTTGGCCAAGTTAAGTCCCATGGACATCCCTGAATCACAGTGTGGGCGTGTATAACCTTCTGAAGGCGTGGGGCACAGGGATATTGATGATCAAGGACTCGTGCAGCCCACTGCAACGTGTTCGCCCACAGCGCAAAGGAAAACAGTGGAATAGTGTCCTTGCTTTATGTTCAGCAAGAAGAGGCTTGTGAATTCTAGCACTGATGAAAGAAATGGAAGGGGCCTTCATCTGATATTAATGGGAAATTTGCTGGGGGCAGTTTGAGGACCAGTGTGCAGCAGACTCCTTGACTAAGCTATCCCAGAAATGAACCAGTAAGAAGTGATCCTGGGGCCAGCACTGTGGTGCAGCGGGTTAACGCCCTGGCCTGAAGTGCCAGCATCCCATATGGGCGTTGGTTCTAGTCCCGGCTGCTCCTCTTCCTGTCCAGCTCTCTGCTGTGGCCTGGGAAAGCACTAGAAGATGGCCCAAGTCCTTGGGCCCCTGCACACACATGGAGACCCGGAAGAAGCTCCTGGCTTCTGGCTTTGGACTGTTGCAGCTCTGGCCATTGTGGCCATCTGCCAGAGTGAACCATCGGATGGAAGACCTCTCTCTCTGCCTCTCCTTCTCTCTGTGTAACTCTGACTTTCAAATAAATAAATAAATCTTTAAAAACAACAAAAAAGAAGTGATCCTGAAACTATGTCCACCGTGAGGACTGGTGCCACTTTCCATGGTGGCCTGCCACAAGCATCTAGGAGTCTCTCATACCCCGTGCAGTTGTGGTGCCTCCACTACTAGAAACGAGAACAGTGGGCACTGGGGAGCGGTCAATGAATGCACTTGGCAAATCCAAGGTCAGCTGCACCCAGAAGAACACGCTTCTTCCAGAAAACATTCTAACACCACCAGAGCCTTGTCTGGCTTCACGCCCCTCTTGTCTGCATGTCTTCCTCCTCCTACCCTCAGGAGAGACCCCCCAACCCACACACACCCCCTACGGAGCCATTCAAATGGCAGATTCACCTTCAGGCTCACCTTCTTCTGGTCTGGACACCCGGGCACACTCTGCCCTCGCCTTCTGGGCTCTTGTCATCACCCCCGAGGTCTGGGTTGGGCCGTCTGTCCTGTGAGTCGCCTGGTCTACCACGCGGAGCTTCTCTTGGATTCCAGATGAGGCTGTGGTGATTTGGGGACAGTTGAAATCCAGGTACCCAGTGCACCTCCCCCCCACCCACTCCTGCCCTCCTTCTCACGGCCCAGCTCCACCCGCTCTGTCTCTGCTCTTCCCTTTCCTCTGCTCCCTTCTGCACAATCGCTGTCCTCCAAGTCCCTTTCTCCCCTCGACTCACCTTGCCTCTTCCTGTTTCTCTTTTCCTTGTTGTCTCCTCTTTGATTCTAAGCTCCATAAAGGCAGGGATTTGCTTGTGTTTTGCTCACTCCCAAGTCCCCACGGCCTGATACACACTTTACACTCAACCCAGGTTCATTCATGAATGTACAATACAGCAGCATATGTTTGAAAACGTCAAATGTATTTTTCATCATTATGGAGTGCCAGGCTTCACTGACAAGGAAATCAGTAGGATCCAGGCCCAGGGCAGATGCTGGCTAGGACTGAGGTCTCTGGGAGGCCCCAGACAAAATACTGAAACACAGAGTTTGTGGAGAGTGATCGGGGTTCCCGAGTCCCCAAAACTACCCGTGCATACCGAGAAGGGGTCTGAACGTCAAGTTTCCTAGAAGTCCTGGGTAGAGGAAAAGCAAGTGACACAGGGTAAGTTTCCTCCAGCCTAGGGAGGGGATGGGGGGAAGGGGGGTACATAAGCAGAGTCCCAGGTCCAACCCCAAGCTTGGTAGTGCTGGGAGCAAGCAGAAAAATCAGGAATTCCCACACCAGCCAGGCTGACATCCTGACCATGAGGGTTCAGGAGCTGGGTGGCAGCCTCTTCTCAGGGGTCCCTATACTCCCACAAAGACATGGGATCCCAAATCCCCACCTGATGGTACCCCGAGGCCCTCAGGAAAGCTGTGAGTACAAGAACAGCCAGCGCCATGGCTCACTGGGCTAATCCTCCGCCTACTGCGCTGGCACACTGGGTTCTAGTCCCGGTCGGGATGCTGGATTCTGTCCCGGTTGCCCCTCTTCCAGGCCAGCTCTCTGCTGTGGCCAAGGAGTGCGGTGGATGATGGCCCAAGTGCTTGGCCCTGTACCCCATGGGAGACCAGGAGAAGTACCTGGCTCCTGCCAATGGATCAGCGCAGTGCGCCAGCCACAGTGGCCACAGGAGGGTGAACCAATGGCAAAAGGAAGACCTTTCTCTCTGTCTCTGTCTCTCTCTCACTGTCCACTCTGCTTGTAAAAACAAAAACAAAAACAAAAACAAAACAAAAAAAAAACAAAAAAAACCTCTGCCCTGGCCGGCGCCGCGGCTCACTAGGCTAATCCTCTGCATTGTCGGCGCCGGCGCACCGGGTTCTAGTCCCAGTAAGGGCGCCAGATTCTGTCCCGGTTGCCCCTCTTCCAGGCCAGCTCTCTGCTGTGGCCCGGGAGTGCAGTGGAGGATGGCCCAAGTGCTTGGGCCCTGCACCCCATGGGAGACCAGGAGAAGTACCTGGCTCCTGGCTCAGATCAGCGCGGTGCGCCGGCCGCAAGGCGCCAGCCGCGGATGCCATTGGAGAGTGAACCAACGGCAAAAGGAAGACCTTTCTCTCTGTCTCTCTCTCTCTCTCACTGTCCACTCTGCCTGTCCAAAAAACAAAAACAAAAACAAAAACAAAAACAAAAAACAAAAAACAAAGAAACAAAAACTCTGCCCTGCTGCTGACCCTCTCATATTTATTGGTCCACATTTCTTTGGCCACGTTAAGTCCCAGGGACATCCCTGAGTCACAGTGTGGGCGCGTATAACCTTCTGAAGGCGTGGGGCACAGGGATAATGATGATCAAGGACTCGTGCAGCCCACTGCAACGTGTTCGCCCACAGCGCAAAGGAAAACAGTGGAATAGTGTCCTTGCTTTATGTTTAGCAAGGAGAAGAGGCTTGTGAATTCTAGCGCTGATGAAAGTAATGGAAGGGGCCTTCATCTGATATTAATGGGAAATTTGCTGGGGGCAGTTTGAGGACCAGTGTGCAGCAGACTCCTTGACTAAGCTATCCCAGAAATGAACCAGTAAGAAGTGATCCTGGGGCCAGCACTGTGGTGCAGCGGGTTAACGCCCTGGCCTGAAGTGCCAGCATCCCATATGGGCGTTGGTTCTAGTCCCGGCTGCTCCTCTTCCTGTCCAGCTCTCTGCTGTGGCCTGGGAAAGCACTAGAAGATGGGAAGATAGCCCAAGTCCTTGGGCCCCTGTACCCACATGGAGACCTGGAAGAAGCTCCTGGCTCCTGGCTTCGGACCGTTGCAGCTCCAGTCATTGTGGCCATCTGCCAGAGTGAACCATCGGATGGAAGACCTCTCTCTCTGCCTCTCCTTCTCTCTGTGTAACTCTGACTTTCAAATAAATAAATAAATAAATAAATCTTTAAAAACAACAAAAAAGAAGTGATCCTGAAACTATGCCCACCGTGAGGACTGGTGCCACTTTCCATGGTGGCCTGCCACAAGCATCTAGGAGTCTCTCATACCCCGTGCAGTTGTGGTGCCTCCACTACTAGAAACGAGAACAGTGGGCACTGGGGAGCGGTCAATGAATGCACTTGGCAAATCCAAGGTCAACTGCACCCAGAGAACACGCTTCTTCCAGAAAACATTCTAACACCACCAGAGCCTTGTCTGGCTTCACGCCCCTCTTGTCTGCATGTCTTCCTCCTACTACCCTCAGGAGAGACCCCCCACACACCCCCCACACACCCCCTAAGGAGCCATTCAAATGGCAGATTCACCTTCAGGCTCACCTTCTTCTGGTCTGGACACTTGGGCACACTCTGCCCTCGCCTTCTGGGCTCTTGTCATCACCCCCGAGGTCTGGGTTGGACCGTCTGTCCTGTGAGTCGCCTGGTCTACCACCGGGAGCTTCTCTTGGATTCCAGATGAGGCTGTGGTGATTTGGGAACAGTTGAAATCCAGGTCCCCAGTGCGCCTCCCCCGACCAACTCCTGCCCTCCTTCTCACGGCCCAGCTCCACCTGCTCTGTCTCCGCTCTTCCCTTTCCTCTGCTCCCTTCTGCACAATCGCTGTCCTCCAAGTCCCTTTCTCCCCTCGACTCACCTTGCCTCTTCCTGTTTCTCTTTTCCTTGTTGTCTCCTCTTTGATTCTAAGCTCCCTAAAGGCAGGGATTTGCTTGTGTTTTGCACACTCCCAAGTCCCCACGGCCTGATACACACTTTACACTCAACCCAGGTTCGTTCATGAATGTACAATACAGCAGCATATGTTTGAAAACGTCAAATGTATTTTTCATCATTATGGAGTGCCAGGCTTCACTGACAAGGAAATCAGTAGGATCCAGGCCCAGGGCAGACGCTGGCTAGGACTGAGGTCTCTGGGAGGCCCCAGACAAAATACTGAAACACAGAGTTTGTGGAGAGTGATCGGGGTTCCCGAGTCCCCAAAACTACCCGTGCATACCAAGAAGGGGTCTGAACGTCAAGTTTCCTAGAAGTCCTGGGTGGAGGAAAAGCAAGTGACACAGGGTAAGCTTCCTCCAGCCTAGGGAGGCGATGGGGGGGAAGGGGGTACATAAGCAGAGTCCCAGGTCCAACCCCAAGCTTGGTGGTGCTGGGAGCAAGCAGAAAAATCAGGAATTCCCACACCAGCCAGGCTGACATCCTGACCATGAGGGTTCAGGAGCTGGGTGGCGGCCTCTTCTCAGTGGTCCCTATACTCCCACAAAGACACGGGATCCCAAATCCCCACCTGATGGTACCCGAGGCCCTCAGGAAAGCTGTGAGTACAAGAACAGCCAGCGCCGCGGCTCACTAAGCTAATCCTCCACCTATGGCGCCGGCACCCGGGTTCTAGTCCCGGTCGGGGCGCCGGATTCTGTCCCGGTTGCCCCTCTTCCAGGCCAGCTCTCTGCTGTGGCCCGGGAGTGCAATGGAGGATGGCCCAAGTGCTTGGCCCTGTACCCCATGGGAGACCAGGAGAAGTACCTGGCTCCTGCCATTGGATCAGTGCAGTGCGCCAGCCACAGTGGCCACTAGAGGGTGAACCAATGGCAAAAGGAAGACCTTTCTCTCTCTCTCTCTCTCTCTCTCTCTCTCACTGTCTACTCTGCCTGTCAAAAACAAACAAACAAACAAACAAAAACAACAACAACAACAACAACAACAACTCTGCCCTGGCCGCGGCCGGCTCACTAGGCTAATCCTCTGCCTTGAGGCGCCGGCACACTGGGTTCTAGTCCCAGTAAGGGCGCCGGATTCTGTCCCGGTTGCCCCTCTTCCAGGCCAGCTCTGTGCTGTGGCCCGGGAGTGCAGTGGAGGATGGCCCAAGTGCTTGGGCCCTGCACCCCATGGGAGACCAGGAGAAGCACCTGGCTCCTGGCTTCGGATCAGCGCGGAGTGCAGGCCGCAGGGCGCCAGCCTTGGCGGCCATTGGAGAGTGAACCAACGGCAAAGGAAGACCTTTCTCTCTGTCTCTCTCTCTCTCTCTCACTGTCCACTCTGCCTGTCCAAAAAACAAACAAAGAAACAAACAAACAAACAAAAATTCTGCCCTGCTGCTGACCCTCTCATATTTATTGGTCCACATTTCTTTGGCCACGTTAAGTCCCATGGACATCCCTGAGTCACAGTGTGGGCGTGTATAACCTTCTGAAGGTGTGGGGCACAGGGATATTGATGATCAAGGACTCGTGCAGCCCACTGCAACGTGTTCGCCCACAGCACAAAGGAAAACAGTGGAATAGCGTCCTTGTTTTATGTTTAGCAAGGAGAAGAGGCTTGTGAATTCTAGCGCTGATGAAAGAAATGGAAGGGGCCTTCATCTGATATTAATGGGAATGTTGCTGGGGGCAGTTTGAGGACCAGTGTGCAGCAGACTCCTTGACTAAGCTATCCTAGAAATGAACCAGTAAGACGTGATCCTGGAACCAGTGCTGTGGTGCAACGGGTTAACGGCCTGGCCTGCAGCGCCGGCATCCCATATGGGCGTTGGTTCCAGTCCCGGCTGCTCCTCTTCCTGTCCAGCTCTCTGCTGTGGCCTGGGAAAGCACTAGAAGATGGCCCAAGTCCTTGGGCCCCTGCACCCACATGGAAACCCGGAAGAAGCTCCTGGCTCCTGGCTTCGGACCGTTGCAGCTCTGGCCATTGTGGCCATCTGCAGAGTGAACCATCGGATGGAAGACCTCTCTCTCTGCCTCTCCTTCTCTCTGTGTAACTCTGACTTTCAAATAAATAAATAAATAAATAAATCTTTAAAAACAACAAAAAAGAAGTGATCCTGAAACTATGCCCACCGTGAGGACTGGTGCCACTTTCCATGGTGGCCTGCCACAAGCATCTAGGAGTCTCTCATACCCCGTGCAGTTGTGGTGCCTCCACTACTAGAAACGAGAACAGTGGGCACTGGGGAGCGGTCAATGAATGCACTTGGCAAATCCAAGGTCAGCTGCACCCGGAGAACACGCTTCTTCCAGAAAACATTCTAACACCACCAGAGCCTTGTCTGGCTTCACGCCCCTCTTGTCTGCATGTCTTCCTCCTCCTACCCTCAGGAGAGACCCCCCAACCCACACACACCCCCTACGGAGCCATTCAAATGGCAGATTCACCTTCAGGCTCACCTTCTTCTGGTCTGGACACTTGGGCACACTCTGCCCTCGCCTTCTGGGCTCTTGTCATCACCCCCGAGGTCTGGGTTGGACCGTCTGTCCTGTGAGTCGCCTGGTCTACCACCGGGAGCTTCTCTTGGATTCCAGATGAGGCTGTGGTGATTTGGGAACAGTTGAAATCCAGGTCCCCAGTGCGCCTCCCCCCACCAACTCCTGCCCTCCTTCTCAGGGCCCAGCTCCACCCGCTCCGTCTCCGCTCTTCCCTTTCCTCTGCTCCCTTCTGCACAATCGCTTTCCTGCAAGTCTCTTTCTCCCCTCGACTCGCCTTGCCTCTTCCTGTTTCTCTTTTCCTTGTTGTCTCCTCTTTGATTCTAAGCTCCATAAAGGCAGGGATTTGCTTGTGTTTTGCTCACTCCCAAGTCCCCACGGCCTGATACACACTTTACACTCAACCCAGGTTCGTTCATGAATGTACAATACAGCAGCATATGTTTGAAAACGTCAAATGTATTTTTCATCATTATAGGGTCCCAGGCTTCACTGACAAAGAAATCAGTAGGATCCAGGCCCAGGGCAGACGCTGGCTAGGACTGAGGTCTCTGGGAGGCCCCAGACAAAATACTGAAACACAGAGTTTGTGGAGAGTGATCGGGGTTCCCGAGTCCCCAAAACTACCCGTGCATACCGAGAAGGGGTCTGAACGTCAAGTTTCCTAGAAGTCCTGGGTAGAGGAAAAGCAAGTGACACAGGGTAAGCTTCCTCCAGCCTAGGGAGGCGATGGGTAGGGAATTGGGAGAAGAGATGGGGGGGTACATAAGCAGAGTCCCAGGTCCAACCCCAAGCTTGGTGGTGCTGGGAGCAAGCAGAAAAATCAGGAATTCCCACACCAGCCAGGCTGACATCCTGACCATGAGGGTTCAGGAGCTGGGTGGCAGCCTCTTCTCAGGGGTCCCTATACTCCCACAAAGACACGGGATCCCAAATCCCCACCTGATGGTACCCGAGGCCCTCAGGAAAGCTGTGAGTACAAGAACAGCCAGCGCTGTGGCTCACTAAGCTAATCCTCCACCTATGGCGCCGGCACCCCAGGTTCTAGTCCCGGTCGGGGCGCCGGATTCTGTCCCGGTTGCCCCTCTTCCAGGCCAGCTCTCTGCTGTGGCCTGGGAGTGCAGTGGAGGATGGCCCAAGTGCTTGGCCCTGCACCCCATGGGAGACCAGGAGAAGCACCTGGTTCCTGGCTTCGGATCAGCACAGCGCGCTGGCCATAGCAGCCATTTGGGGAATGAAGCAATGGAAGGAAGACCTTTCTCTCTGTCTCTTTCACTGTCTAACTTTGCCTGTCCAAACAAACAAACAAACAAAAAACAGAGGAAAAAGGAGCCAGGAATGAAGGGAAGAGGCAGGGAGCAGAGAAGGAGAAGGGGGATGGAGACGGTGGGGAGCTGGAGCCAAGGAGCGGACAGTGGGGTCTGGTGAGTGCTTGTTTCCTGTGCTGCTGACAGCACCACTGCACGCAGCGCAGCTGATGCGTGGTGAGCACACACAGAGGTTTTGAGAGCTGCAGGACTGTGAATGTCATTCCCGACCGAGATGGGGGTCTGACTGCCTCCCGTGCACCCCCGTGTCCTTTGTCGGCGCTTCCTGGATGGGAGCCTGGAGCAGATACAGTCTTAACCTCAAAGTTCCCTGACATGAGTTCCCTCACTTCCACCCCAACCAGCATTCCTTCCAGAAGGTACCAGAAGAGAGGCCAGATTTGAGTCCGCGTGGTGTCCGGGTCTTTCTGTGCGGGAGGCATCCGCTGACGGGGGGCCAGGGCCAGGGCCAGGGCTGGGGCAGTGAAAGCTGGGTGGCCTCGCCCGTGACTCCAGTGAGGACCATGCTAGGTGCCAGGGGAGTGGCACTCATCCTTCTTGCTTACCTCCTGACAGTCATTTTTTCTGTCTTTCTGAATTTGAGCACCTACATATTTTTCTTCTCTCTTCTTAAAAAAGAAAACCAATTCACGCTCTGGCTATAAATATTGATCCAAATACAAATATAGATCCAGATATAAATATAAATATTGAAAATATATTGAATTTTTTTTGTTAAAAAAAATTTAATAGAGAGCATGTTCCCAAATGCTGGTTCACTCCCCAAATGCCTGTAATGGCCACTGCTGTGCCAAGCTGAAGCTGGGAGACGGGAGCTCAATCTAGGTCTTCCACGTGGGTGCCAGGGATCCAACTACTTGAGCCATCACTGCTGCCTCCCAGGGTCTGCATTAGCAGGAAGCTGAAGTTGGGAGCCGGGGTGGGCTGCTGAACCCAGGCACTCCAATGTGGATGCTGTTGTCTTAACTGCCAGGCTAAATGCCACTCCTCAACACTTTTTTAAAGATTTAGTTATTTATTTGAAAAGCAGAGTTACAGAGAAGGGGGAAGGGAGAGGGTGAAATAGAGACAGAGACCTTCCATGCACTGGTTCACTCCTCAAATGGCTGCAACAGCCAGAGCTGGGTCCATCTGAAGCCAGGAGCCAGGAGCTTCTTCCAGGTCTCTTACGTGGGTAGCAGAGGCCCAAGCACTTGGCCCATCTTCTGCTGCTTTCCTAGGCACATTAGCAGGGAGCTGGATTGGAAGTGGAGCAGCTGGGACTCTAACCAACGCCCATTCAGGCGGTAGTTTAACCTACTATGCCACCGTGCTGGCTCCCTTCAATACTTTTTAAACAAAAATTTTATGCTTTCTCATCACTTTGGGGAGGCAAGAAACCATTAGGCCTATGTGAAACAAGTACTTCATTTTGCCTGGAAGTGAATAAGAACTGGATAAAGATGTAAAAGATATTCTAGTAACTAACATTTAGAATATGCATTTTCAAATTAATAGCCATTTTTTAAGACTAGAGGAAGATATAGCAAAAGATTGTTATACGCCATGGACATGAAAGGTTTTCTTAGCTGAAATTCAAAGCCAGAAAAGATCACACAGATAAAGACAAAGAGATTTTAAAAATGTCAAATGTTCACACCTCGGAAAACACTCCACATATTGAAACAGAAATGTTGGTAGGAACATTGTGTCATAGAGGACAGGGCCGGTCATGCTGCAGTAACAAACAAAACCGCATCTTAGTGCATCAGCTTGGAAAGGTGTATTCTTTGGTCACAGAGGACCTGCAGGGGACTCCCAGGGCTGCTGCCCACCCCCTACCCCGCTTTGGCCTTGGGGCTGTCTCTTCCACACCCTTCCCACAGTCAGAGGAAAGTTGTGGAGAGCTGTGGCGTGGGGCTCTTTTGTGCTGTGACCCAGGGGTGACACCTGTGTCTCCAGCTGCCTGGCCAGCACCAGCACCGTGCACTTGCCTCCTGCAGGGGGGACGGCCAGGAAGCTTTCCGGGTGTCCCAGAGGGGGAGCAGAGCGAGAAACAGCGGCGAGCGGTGGATGAGAGCCCTGCTGTTGCTGTACCTGCTCTCCTCTGTTTCCCCTCAGTTGGGAATGGAAGCCTGATTCTGAGCAGGTTCCCTATTCTTCTAGCACTAGGACCACATTCCCCAGCCCTTTGAAGTCAAAGGCGGCCACACACCAGTCCCGGCAAGGCAGTGCTGCCTGTGGGTGGTGTCCATGGCAGGGGGTGCCCTTGTCTGATCCTGCCTCTTCCCCGTTGGCTGAACCCAGACTTCCTGGCTGGACCCTACCGCAGAGGATGCCCCGGGCAAGAACCTTGACCATCTACCTCTGGACAGCAGAGCAAAAGCAGCCCTTGTTCTAGCTACTTTGTTCTTCTATTTATTTTTTGGAGCCTGGTGGGGCAAGAAATTAGCTGAGGAATAAGCAAGTTTTGCATTTTGTGGCCACTCTCGTTTTAGGTAACAGAGAGCTGACAGAGGTCTGGCGATCCGACTTCTGCCTTTTCCTTGCCGATGAAGAACGAGGGCGCCTGGAAGCAGAGAGCCTGGTGACCAGGAGGCCAGCCCTGCTCCCACCCTTCCCTGCCCATGGGGCCCTGGAGACTCCTCAACCCCCTCTCCAGCTCAGTTTTCTCACCTGCAAAATCGGAGTCAATCATTTACCCTTCTGCAAGGTGGCTGTGACAATAAAATGAAATTATGCACAAGAGCAGCCAGTGTAAGTTAGTGCCAGGATGGAGAAGCTGTTAAAGTGATCGTTTAGATTTGTAAGGGGGTAAAATGTCACCCATTGTTTGTGACAATAATCAGGTATTTGCTGTTTGGGAGTCAGGTGCATCATGCCAGAGCTCTGTGGATTAGTGACCCGACGACCATGTCACCAATCAACAGAAAAAATGCAGCCTCTTTTATTTTTTTCTTTTCAAGGATACTGTTACCAACTCACTCCAAAATTATCAGCCACCCCTAGCGGTGGATTCACACACCCCAGCAGTACCACAACAAGGTTGGGGGCAGGTGCCTGGTCACAGGAATACATTTGTGTTTCTTTCCTTCTTTCTTTTCATTTTATTTTTAAGATTTATACATGTATTTCAAAGAGTTACAGAGGGAGAGAGAGATCTTCTAACTACTGGTTCACTCCCCAGATGGCCACAATGGCCACGGCTGGGCCAGGCCGAAGTCAAGAACCAGCAGCCTTGTCTGGGTCTCCCACGTAGGTGCAGGGGCCCAAACATTTGGGCCATCTGCTGCTGCTTTCCCCAGGCCATTGGCAGGGAGCTGGATCAGAAGTGGAGCAGCCGGGACATGAACTGGCAGCCATATGGCAAGCCAGTGCTGGTGCTGCGGGCAGAGGCTCTACCTGCTACGCCACGATGCCGGCCCCTACATTTGTGTTTCTGATGAGCTTTTCTCTTCTGAATTTCCCCCAGAGAGGTCATACAAGCAATATGGAGACAGGAATCCCAGGAAACACGCGATCCATGGCTTGGGCACTTTCGGGATAGAATGAAGTTTGCATGAGGGCTCCTCAAAAAGTGTGCAGAAAATGGTGTTTCAAGATTAGTTTATTTTAGTCTCAAAGCTTTTGAGAATATGCATTTTCTCATAATATGAAAAGTATATTAGCAGGGTGCTGGATCAGAAATGGGTGGCTGGGGATCAGCTTTGTGGCACAGCAATGAAGCCAGCGCCCGCAGTGCGGCATCCCATGTGGGCGTCAGTTCGTGTCCTGGCTGTTCCACTTCCAATCTGGCTC